ATAATTACTTGATTGAAACAGTTTCTTGCTCCTGCTTTTTGTTTGTGTCTCTACTTAAACTTTAACAGGATATAAAAAGTGTGATATTTTGTTTACTTTTCAGTGAGCAAGGCTACACCCTCAGGCAGAACGGTAATTAAAAATGAAAATACAACTCACTCATGGTGCAGTTTTATGCAACTGTAAATGCTAAAAAAAAAACAACTAGTCAATAGGAGCTGCTCTGCTTTCAGCATAGATGAAGCTTTGGAGTTGACCTTTTTGCCTTAAACATCTTAAAACACTTTTTTGTGACATATAAAAAAGTGGTTTAATTAGTTCTGCTGTTGGCGGCACAATGCCTTGTGGGATACCTTCCTGGCCAATCCTCACTGTCACATAAACTAAAATAAGTACTTCTTTAAAACATTTTTACCCCAAAAGCTTCTCAACTTATTTAAATCAAGTGATTTTTACAGCTACGTGAAAAAAAGAAAGAAGTTGAATCCAGTTTATTTATTTGATTAAAGCCAACATTGTAATTCATTGCAACCCAAAAATTCACTGGACTTTGACAAAAGTCAAGTTATACTCACTCATCTTTTTCAATTAAATCCAATGTTTTGATTTACAGTGTACTTGGTCCTTGTGGTCTTTTCTCACTCGATGAGCAGTTTAAACATTTATACGCGTTCACATCGGGGTACCCGCCGTCATTTAAGGATAAATATTACAGTGAACTAATTTTTTTTCCTTTTAATTATTTTATTTTTCAATTTTAAAAGTTTATGTCCATGGATCTATAGGTTAGAATAAATAGGACAGAATTGTGATTGTGATGAAATTGACTGAAGCAGATGATTCATTTCTGCATTTATTTCTCTTTGTGAGTCCTGCTAGGAGTACTGGACATACTGAACCCCTTTTTTTTTTTTTTTTTGTCCCACATGACAATGTGGTGGGTCTGTTTCGAACACAGGCCTTAGTGAACACCATCCATTTCTGAACACCCTTGTCCCTCAGTGGGGTCGGGAGGGGTGCTGGTGCCTATCTCCAGCTAACGTTCCGGGAGAGAGGCGGGGTACATCCTGGACAGGTCGCCAGTCTGTCGCAGCTTAGTGAACACCTGAGTTAAAAATATTGCAACCCTTGAGTTGCTGCTGCCAACTCAAGGGTTCAGTTCTGTCGAGATTGAACTGGGCAGATGTTGCTGACCAGAGAGCTGAACTGATTTCCTTGGTGAGTTCGTCTGCTGCTTGGGCGTCAAGAGGAGTGACGTGTGCCGCTTCTCTCCAAACCTCATCCATATTCTCTAGAAAAGAAAAATGCTAAATCATTCTATTGTTTACTGATTTTATTCATGTGTACATGATAAAACAATGAATTACTCGCTAATACCAATGGATATTCTATTAATTTATCAAAGTTTGTTGTGAATTGTGGATCATTAGACGATGGCCTTCGTCTCCTGGGTGCAGAATATGTTTGGGAAAATGACAAACTGAACTTAGAGACATTTTGTTCTGATCTCGTCTTACAAAAATCTACATGGTATATATGATAAAAATAGAAAATTACACAAACCGTTCTTCATCAAGCTGTTCTTAATACAACTTAGGCTTCTTATTTTAATATTTTTTTATGTGTGCGTCCTTTGCATGAATTCCAAATGGGTTTTGTGGAGAACTAACATGCGTGTTATGTACAGGACTTGCAGGACATGAAGGCGCTTTTCCCGACTTGCTGAAAAAGTTTCAAATTCCCTAAAGTTTACTGCCTGTTTTCCTAAAATTATGTTTTGAAATGTCTTCTACATGCTTATTTAAAGTTAATTTATTGATTTGCTCGGTGCAACATGGCGTCATGGTAACAAAGTATCTCTATTCTTACAAAAAATAACCTTGATAAAGTTAAATAACACATTCATGTTCATGTGTAATTTATGTTGAATGGATATTTTTATAAGTTACTTTCACTGACGCATATATGCATGAAAAACCAGATTAAAACAGAAAAAATGATTAATATATTTTTTTTCCAACTGCTTATACATTATGTATTTTGAGGAGTCACATGCGGCTCCACAGCATCAAAATCACTGGTTTGTTAGTTTGTGCAAACAGCTGGAATAATCACTTCCAAAACTAACAACAACAGATTGATAAAACATCTGCATCAGGCCCGACGGTGTGACCCTATGGAGAAAAATAAAGACTAAATGTGCTGAATGTCTGCATGGACACAAAGAAAGTTGCTGACTTGAAGGTGAATTCATCTGAGGATGCTTCAGAAAACATCTGTCTGTTTAGGATTCACGTTAAAATTTGCAACATTTAAAAGAAATAAATGCTGTAATGCTTGTTTTTTTTCTGATATCAATTTTGCTCTCCAATGACATTCTGCACATGCGTGGCTCTGTGTGCAGGGTGGAGTTTCAGCATGGGGTCAGCCTACCAGTTCCACAGCTGGAGAGTGTTTGTGGTGGTCTGTGCGCTGCCGTGCGTCTCGGCGGTGGTCGCTCTCACTTTCATGCCCGAGAGCCCCCGCTTCTTCCTGGAGGTAAAACTCACCCAATACTGTTCTAATAGCAGCACTGACATTTTGGCCAAAAACAACCAATCAGAGCCAGAAGGAGGGTCTTAGCGTTGTCAATCAACAGCGCTAATATCTGTTGATTGACAGGTCTTAGCGCTGTCAGTGTGCGCTGCTCAGTGTGCCAACAGCAGAGAAACAACTTATCGTTTTACAAAAGCTATTTAACCGCCGACATCAGTGGCCACGGTCACTAGCCTTAGCATTCAGAGTATGTGTGCTTCACCTGCTAAATGTGTCCGTCTCCCAGACGGGGAAACACGACGAGGCCTGGATGGTTCTCAAACACATCCACGACACCAACATGCGGGCCCGAGGAGAGCCTGAGAGAGTCTTCACCGTAAGCATGCTCACCATCCCCGACCACTTAGCGTCTGCTGTAGCGCTCAGCGGCTGACAGATGGGTGTCGCCCCCTGCAGGTGAACAGGATAAAAATCCCCAAACAGCTGGACGAGCTGGTGGAGATGCAGAACGAGTCGGCCAACCCGGTGCTTAAGGTCCTCTGCAAGATCAAGGCTGAGCTCAGAGGGGTATGAAGCTGTTTTTTTTTTTTTTTTTTTTCTTTATCTGGGTCTTTTTTAACTTTTTGGATGTGGCTGATGTTAACTTTTTTTTTTTTTTTTCCCCTGGCAGATCTGGCTGACGTTTATGAGATGCTTCAGCTACCCAGTGAAAGAAAACACCATGAAGCTGGCAGCAGTCTGGTTCACTTTGTCATTTGGGTAGGAAACGATCTCCTCCGGTTTTCCTTTCACAGTCTCTGTGTTTTTATTGCTTTGATCATGTTTAATGATGCTATCCACGGCCCTGGGGTTGACACTTAACTGTTAACAGTTTGTGTGAAGAACTTTGCTCTAAGGTAGTGAGTGCATCACTCATACGCTGACCATGGATGCTGATAAGTAATTTTATACAGAATTTGCCTTTTTCTTTTCTGGTCTGTTTACCCACATGCTGTTATTCCCAACACTAAAGAAAGTCATGTAGCTATTTGTTAAGACAATCAACAAATCCATAAAATCAACTTTTAAAAATCTGGAGCCTGTAGGTACGTTGCACGTCGTTGTCTACACAAACTTTTGTGCATGCGCACAACGCTGGAGGGCAAAGAGATGATTCTGTTACTTGCTGCTGCGGTAAAACAATTCTGTTAACAAAACAAAACTCCAAAGATGTAGGTGTTGTTAATTTAGAGCCGTGCGCCGTTGCAGGTTTTACGGGCTGTCGGTGTGGTTCCCGGACGTCATCAAACACCTTCAGGCTGACGAGTACGCCTCCAGAGTGAAGATCCATCACAACGAGCGCATTGAAGACTTCACCTTCAACTTCACACTGGAGAACCAGATCCACAGGAACGGAGTCTTTATGAACGACAGGTACAGCTAAGACACGGCCTCATGCACAGACACCGGACTGCCCACAGCGTTTGGCCTTTGGTGGAATTACATCAGTGGTGTCCAAACCTTCTGCACCATGGGACAAAATCAACAAATTTAAAGCCCTCAGGGGCCAAAATGTATCTATTTATCTATGTTCAGTTAAAAATGCAAATTCATTTCTGTTGGAACTTCTTTTGGGGGTTTTTCAACCTGCTCAGCAACAAATTAATTAATTTTTAACTGAAAAGGCCAGAAAAAGAATCTGTGTTGTACAGTTTCCTAACTTGTTGGTCAACATATAAATGTTTAGTTTATTCCCTGCAACAACAATGAAAACCCTTAACAGTATGTAGTTCATTTTGGATATTGGGTGTGATTCAGTCTGTTTCTTCATTAAAAAAAAAAGGCAAAGCAAAAAGAAAAAAAAATACTTGGCCAATAAAACAAAAACACCTTCTGTTTAAGATATAAATTTGTCATTTTAAAGCAAAGAGCATTAATATGTGCTATTTGATTAAAATTAATTTGCTATAGAAAATGTGGGTAATGTTAATTCCTTCATGGAGCAAAGTGTCAATCACTAAACAGCTCCAATCTTACCTAACCGAGTGCAATGTCACGCTTTGGTTGCATTAGAGTAAAGCATGCTGCTCCTTTACTCTAGAATCTGTAGATCTATAGATGAACCCAATAGAACCACGAGCGACGGATAATATCTTCCGTTTCTTGCCGTATTCCCATGTGAGATCTCCGCGGCATTGACTGAAAGTCCTGAGTTTACAGTCCAACTTTGGTGAATTCCTGGTTTTCCAGACAGAAAAATAAAAGCAGCCGCAGCGAAGCGCACTGCGCCGTCGTTAAAGGTGCTCGTCCAGAAGTGGGACAGCAGCGCTATTTGTCATTTTCTCGAACGTCCACAACAGGTAATATTAATCCTGCCTCCTTTATCTTCCCCAAACACCAGGAAATTAAAAGCCTTATCACACACCCGGTCCATTTCTCTGCCCTCTTCCCTCTCTCTTTCTCTCTCTCTCACACACACACACACACACACACACACACACACACACACACACACACACCTGAACACAAGGTTCATTTACACAAAGGCCAGAGTGGAGGTGATACTGCAGGGTAAATCCGCACCAACACAACCATGGTGGGGAACGCTGCATGCAACAGATTGTATTATTAAATAATTAAAAGCTTTTAAATATTGACTTATTTAAAAAGTTCAATGCATATTAACGGATATAGAATATTGTAAATATACCAGATTTAGCAAAATGCTAATTTACCTTCATTATTAGTTAAAAAAAACCCATAAAATACAGACATTTATATGATTTCATACATAAAAATAAGGAAAACAGTTGCAACAAATAAAAACTGTATATAGACTGGAAAATCTGCTTCAAGAAGAAATGACAAAATGATTTTTTAAAAATCCTAATACATCAAAAATCCTAATACATTAAAAAAGATTTAAAGACGTACTAAATAAAGAATTAAGGTACAAATTCTGTTTTAGTAGAAACAATGCCTGAAATATTAAACATACAGTTAAATCACTGAAAACATGAAACTTACATGTAGTCAAAAAAAATAACTTAGGCAATTTTTTTTTTTAGGAAGTTGACAACATGGAGTTCATCTCCAGTGTTTTATCAAATTATTCACATCTCTTGGATCTTTATGCATTTTTCAAGCTTTAATTCATTTACATTTTTTTTGTAAAGTTTTTTCTTGATGCATTTGATGTTTTGTGGTTGTTGCTTCACAAAACGTGGGGAAGTTAAAGGAGTAGGAAAAACTCCTGCAGTGCATTGTGCTGGAGTTTCTGTTCTCAGTTAGCATCACAACAAGCTATGCTATCTCTGAGTCACGGGCTAAAGTCGATCGATGAGTTGGGAGAAAAACTGTTTCTGTGGAGCGATGGAGGAACATGAAGACAACGTGTTCAATGTGGAGCCTTTAAAGAAATGCTTGTACTGGAGAAATGCTGCTATCTGTTGTTCTGGTTCCACTGACAAGTCACGATGCGGTTTTCTGCACCTGCAGCAGAAGAGACAGCAGAGAGTGAAACATAGATTAAAGGTGAAGTTAAAAGTCCAACTTTCACTGGGAAGCCTCCACGCAGATTGTGTTCTGGAAATGATTGTTTTTATGCAGTTTATCAAAAGGCAAAACATGTTTCTCATCTTCACAAACATGAACTCACCTTTAAGTTTCAGTTCCTTGTCCAACAAAAACGTACAGCAACTGAAATGTCTCTTCAATTTTGGATATTTTAAAACACCTTCCAGTTCCCGGGTATTAGTCTTTGAGAGGATGAATTTACATTATTATGCCATTATCAATATATTACTTGAAAATGGTCTCAAAATAATATTATAATTGCCGGGGCAATATATCGTCCAGCAAAATTTGTTATCATAACTTTCAATTTCAAATTCAAAAATACTTTATTGATCCCAAAGGGAAATCAAATAGTAACTTTCAGTCTAGATGTCTAAAAAGTAAGCTTTTAGAAATCCAATACTCCAACTACACAGAAGCGATTTATTCAGAACTCCGTGTTTGATGTCTGTGCATTTAGCAAAAAAAAGCAACTCTGCATTTCGGTGATACAAGTGAGACACCAACACGCTTCTTTTCAAGGGGAAATAATTCTGTATCAGCACCGGCTGGCATCTGGAGAATGTTAGATACCTCTTTTTTTCTTTCTTTTACTCCTGCTTTAATGGATTTTACTGTTTTTTTTCTGTCTCTTCGCAGGTTTCTCAACATGAAGTTCAAGGCGGTGACATTTATAGACTCGTCTTTTATCAACTGCTATTTTGAGGATGTTTCCTCAGTGGGATCCTCCTTCAAAAACTGCACCTTTGTGGACTCTTTCTTTTACAACACGGGTGAGGCTGTAACTCTTTAAAGTGCTCAACTGAGATGTTTAACCTTTCTCTTAGGGAAAGCTGTATTTGGCATGTTGGATTCGTTTTTTTTCTCAGGGAGGTCAGATTGGAGTTTAATATTTATTGTCGCAATAAGCAATAAATCTATTTATTGCATGATAAATTAAAGCGAACCCAATAATTTCTATTTGCATAATTCATCGTTTTTTTCTTTTCTTTTTTTCTATCAAAATTGGATGACAAACGTCTTCAGTCTCAATGAGCCCTTTTATTTTTTGAAGGACAATTTTGTTTCCATAGATTTCATAATTCATTTTACTTGTTTCTGTTGTTTTGTTTATTTATTTTGGATATTTAAAATGTCTTCCAGTTTCAGTGTTAAATGTTTGTTATAATTTTAACTTTATTGATCTTTGCAAATGATCAATAATTATTGCATTATTTTGCCATTGCCATTACATTACTTGAAAAAGGTCTCAAAACAGCAATATTGTCATTTATGGCAATAACTCCTTGGACAATTTATCGTCTAGCAAAGTATCGTGACAGGCCCATCAGTATCTTCTCCTTCAGGGAGTCATGAAAGCAGCATAAACATAAACTAAAACATTGCAGAGTGAAAACATCATCAAAAGATGGAAAAACAAGAAAGAAACCAAACCATCCCAAATCAAATTCCAGACAATACAGACTAATTTTAGCCTCTTTTGTATAACCTTTGCTTGTTTCATCAAGACACCGCTCATTGTTTACAGACAACAGATGGAAAACAACCTTCTGGCCAATTCTGGCCGTGAATTAATGTGCATTGTCCCTACCAAAATAAATGAAATTAAAATTATGACACCTTTTTGTGTTATAGTTCTAGATTTTGAAATTTTCCTTTATTTTGGGTGTTGCGATGCAGTTAGTTAGCGTGGGGTGCAGCGTCCTGTCGCACTTAGCACATGCATGTAAACGGTTGTTTACAAAGTTTGACAAAGACTGGCCTTAGAGTTATTAGTTAATCAATTGGAATTCATTGTAATATAAGTCGATTAATCGTTTGCATACCTTGTACTTTTGTCTCAAAGTCGCAACAGAAATTACACATCCCTGTTAATTCATCACTTAAATTGCATGAAAGTAACCAAAATAAAAGTCAAAAGTGAATTTTTTTCTCCGTTATTTGAGGTTCTGCCTAGTCATTTAGAAACACACACACACAAAAAAAAACTCCGAACTTGAAGCAAAAGGAAAGCAGCAGAGGCATGAAATGATCTGAGAGAAGCGGAGCTGAATCAGACCTTGTGGGAGCAGCATGCTGGAAAAACAGTTCCCTCCAGCACTCTGTGAAAGCGCTGAACATGGAAACAGTGAGGCCATGTCAAGTTTGCCGGTAAAGCCCTCTGGGAAATGAAGTCTCATTGCTCCCAGCAATATGTCTGGAAAAATGGTGAAGAAAAAAAAGACGAAATGAGGAGAGACGGGTTAAGAACGGATGGGAGGACGGTGTGTGTGCATGTGTGTGTGTTTGGTGAGAAGCCGGAACGTTTTCTCAGCACAGCAGCTGCTGAATTATAATGATGAGCAATTTTGCAGCAGGCAGGTTTGTTTCACTTCTTATTATGAGAGGGAAAACACCAACACATTACGGATGGTCTATAAGGTTCCCTATATTCTGTGTTTTCTATGAAATTAGGGAATTTTTTACTGAGTTTAGTTTTAAAAATGGTTTATTTAAAAAAAAAAAGAAAGAAATGGAAGGTCTTAGTTGGCCTTAGTTGCCTCAGAAACTCACACGTATAAAATGTGCGCCTTTAATATACCGTTAAGCTTGGTGGAAATGCATTTTTTCTGGACTCAATGCCAGAAGTTCATGTTGATTTTAATCAATGAACCTTTTAGCTGAACATTTCTGCTGCTTTCTACAGACATAGATGATGCCAAGCTGACAAATTCAAGAGTGATCAACAGCTCCTTCCACCACAACAAGACCGGCTGCCAGATGACGTTTGACGATGATTACAGCGCCTACTGGGTCTACTTCGTCAACTTCCTGGGAACGCTGGCCGTGTTGCCTGGGAACATCGTTTCTGCTCTTCTCATGGACAAGATAGGACGCCTCAGCATGTTAGGTAGGTCCAGGATCTGCTCTGACCTTTGTGCAAAAATGACCCATTGGTCTCTGGACGCCAGCCTAGGCGTCTGTAATGGCCCCCAGTGCCACAATGTGGGCCATTTGTAAAGGATGTTCTATATGCGGTCCTCCAGGAGGCTCCATGGTGCTGTCGGGGATCAGCTGCTTTTTCCTTTGGTTCGGCACGTCTGAGTCCATGATGATCTTCATGCTCTGTCTCTACAATGGTCTCAGTATCTCTGCGTGGAACTCCCTGGATGTAGTCACCACTGAGTTGTACCCTACAGACAGGAGGTGAGTTACACGACTCAATTAAATTTGGTAGTACGACTTGATGAATGAGTGTCAGGCCTTGTTTAGTATATTTTAAGTACAAGTGGTTCACTTACTGACAGCAGCATATCAAAAATGACAATATGAAAGGCATAAAAAAGAGAAAATGTGAGAAAAATCAACAAATCTGCACACTGACCATTAAACTGGGGCAGCGTTGGGCCATATCTGTTCACCAGCTAGTGTCACAATAGGACAGGAAAACTGAGGAGAATGAGTTGTTGACCGATTGCTGGCTGATTATTGAACAGATTGTCTCAGTTATAACACATGATAATCAAAGCACTTGTTTCATAACCTGTGGTTGAAGGAACGTAAAAGGCTGTTCTGGTCCATTACAGTGGAAGATGGAGACTGGCGTAAGCACTGATGTGTCTTTGAGCCACACACTTTCTGTCCCCAACCAAGGCATAGGTGTTAATTGGAAACAAGAATCAAGCTAATGGCTTCAATTCTGGTTTGTAAAACTTTGTCATCACCACCCTGTATTCTGACATGGATTTTTTTTAGTAGAAGTCTAAAATATTTGAAAAACAAAACAAAAAAAAAACATTTTAATTCAGCTTTGCAAACTGAAATACCTTGGTGCAATGCTACTTAACGTTTGCAAAACAGCCAATTCAAATATTTTCAGATTTCAGATTCTCTTCATAGGTAGTTCTGGTCGCTGGTGACCATCAACTCTCATGGTATTAAAACAAAGTGTAACCAGTTGAGAACCCATCAGTTCACCCACAGAGGGTTGGGCTAGCTAATATCACAGAGTGGAGGACAGTCTGTTCTACTCACTGTCCTCACAAATGCTCTTCTAGAGGAATGGCCAGCTGTTCCTAGCAACACAGTGAAACTTAATGCTCAACAGATAATTATTAAATACAGTCACACTGAAGTGATGTTGGAAAAACAAAAGACACTGGCTACCCTTACGTAAGTCCTCAGTAAGTAGCTGGTACTAGGTATAAGTGAGTAACTGAACATCTGATCTTTTTGATTGTAGCTAACGATACACATTCTGTTCTTGGCTGACTGCTTTGTTTGTCTCTTGATCTTCAGGGGCACAGGATTTGGCTTCTGTAACGCCATATGTAAGCTGGCAGCAGTTCTTGGCAACCTGATTTTTGGCTCCCTGGTTGGCATCACCAAGGCTATTCCTATTCTCCTGGCGTCAGCTGTTTTGGTTGGTGGCGGACTGGTGGGCCTCCGACTACCAGACACACGTTCCAACGTCCTCATGTGAACACCGGCCAAGAAAACGGGTTTACCAGGTTTTTACTCAGCCTACTGAACACTTGGTTTTCAGCTATTGTTTATTTAAATATCACTGAAACAGTTATTGCTGCCATTGCCCAAATGTATTTCATCTAAAAGAAACAATGCTAAGAATCGCAACAACTCAAAATTCATTACAGGTGATGATTGTTCAGTTGATTCTGAGTAAAATACCTGGTTAAGAGTCTAATGCAGTTTTACAGAGCTGTAGATGTACAGAGAAAGCTTGTATGGAAAATTGTCTTACAGATGCACCAGATGCCAGTTTTATGTTTTTCCAGAACTTTTGGTGTTTAAAGAAAAAGTCTCATCTCTCATGAGTGGAAATGAAACAGCAGCTCATTAGCTATAAGCTTTTTCACACATGCAAGCCACAAAGGTGTCAACAAAAGCTGCAAAAGGCTTGGAGCTTCAGTAACCTTTCATATCTCCTCCAGTACTGCTCAGAAAGAAAGTATATACAGACACAATTACATGCTCTATGACCTAGTCAATGAGTTTGCACTTTGAGAAACAACACGGCTTTTCAGCTAGTGCTGCAAACGATCACCAAAACAACATAATCATCAAACATTGGGCTTTTTATATTATGTTGATCTGTTAATCTGCTTTGGAGAATAGTACTCTTATTTTATGTCTCTTGAATTATTCATGCATGCGCCCCTTGGAAGGCAAAACCTACTTCTATTGTGCAGTCGTATTTTGAAAAGTCAGCAGAAATAAATATGGCAGAAATGAACCATTTAAAAAAAAAACTAGTTTAATATATTTTGTTACTTTTTATAGAATTATTTTCCACATATTGTTGAAGTATATTAAGTTTATTTTTTATATAGTACCCTACAATGACATCAGTAGTCACCGTTATATTAATATTGCAAATGTTCATCAACAAACTAAAGAATATTTATTAGAAGTTGGATAGATTAAGAATTACAAGAGATGACTAGTAGTGTCAGTCTTCTTACAAAACCTTTACATTAACAGCTTGTCTGTTTTATTATTAATTTATTATTTATTTGTCATAGCAGGAGCAGATGTTATGGTCAAAATAAAATCAATATAACAAAACTTCTCCAAAGCAGTCCTTTATGAGGAACCTCTAGAGTAAATTCCATTGTGCAGAAATTGAGCTTTCATAATTTTGCACTGATGTAGCATCTCATCATTTGAAAAGACGTGAACGTTACAGTATGGTGAAAAGAGAGTCTTTTCCACATGTCTCCATGTTCTACAGTCTGCTGAAGTGTTTACTGACTGCTGGAGCTCCGTGACTGACTGTTTCTGTAGCAAAGCAGACTGCTGCTCTACTGTGACACCCAGTGGCTGTTTTCTAGGATTGCACATTATGACCTCAGATTTGAAGAAAAAAAAAAATTAAAAATCAAAACTAGACCCTGGAAAATTCAACCTGAAGTTATGATTAAAAGAAAGTACACACCTAAAATTCCAGGGGTTTACTATGTTGATGTATTAGACTGTAGATTAAGTTCAGAAATTGTATTTAAAAAAAGGAAATTACTGAGTTCGAAAAGTCAAAAATATGCGACTTTTGGAAATTTTCTGAGTTTCAAAAGTTGCAGATGTTTGACTTTTGAATCTTAGAAATTGTTTCTAGAAAATTTCTAGAAAACTGATTCATCTAAAACTTTCTCAGTTTTTGGGCAGACATTTTCTTTGCTTTTTCTATTTGTAAAGACCCAAATACGCCATTTTATTTTTACACATTTATGGGGGGGAGGGTTCACAATCGTTCCCATTTTTACTTCATTTGCTTTTGTTTTGTTTTATGAGTACTGATGGAATTATTTATGTATTAAAATATTTAATAGTTACACTGAATAACATGGTGTATGTTGTTGAGAATTAAACAATCCTTTCATGTTTTATGCAAATCCAACGACAAGCTCCAAAACCTCCTAACAACCTGACATAGTTTTTAGCATCGGGCTTCTTCTGCTTCGTGAGTCTAGTCACCAGCTAGAAACTGGAAATATGTTCTACATACATTTTGTGATGAACATATAATGAAAGGTTGATGATCATCAAGCCTTTTGACGCAAATTACAAGACTGACAAGGTCATAAGGTAAAAAAAAAAATAAAATAATAATAATAATAAAGTAGTAGTTTAGTCAAAACTGGCAACTTCTGCAGCTACATTTCTAAATAATAATAATAAAAAAAAGTTTACATTTTCTGCTTTTTACTGTGGAGACTTTTGGGAGTAGAGTCCTTTTTGTCTGAATGCTTCCTGTCTCTTCCTCTCTTCGTGTCTCTCTGTACGTGTCGCGGCGTCAAGCTCGCCACGAAGGGCTTCGCTCTTCTGTAAAGAATCTGCGCCACAGGACATTTCTGTTGGTGTCTGAGCTTGTGCTTTTCTTCCTTTCTATCTTTCTCCTGTCGGTTTGCTCACGGTGTCTCTTGGTCCTCTGTGTCCTGTGTTGACCTCCTCTGCCTTGCTGCTGCTCCCTGTAAAACTCAAAAGCCTTTCTCTGAACTTGTGCCTCTCTCTGTCTAGCCCAGCTCTTCTTCCAAACCTCTGCTGGACGCTTTGCTGCTCTTTCTTGCTTTTTTTTTTTTTCCTTTGGTCCCTTATTGATGTGTGTGTGTGTGTGTGTGTGTGTGTGTGTGTGTGTGTGTGTGTTTGTGTTTGTGCGTGAGTGTTCTGACGCTATTTATTTATTTATTTACCATTCAAGTGTGCTGTACAAAAGGTTTAGTTAGCATCCTTTACCAACAATAAAAGCCATGTCTATGGTGTTAGCTCTCAATGCTAAACAGCCGACTGTTTTAGTCTGTTGTGCTATTTTTTTTTAGAGCTCAGCGCAATGAGAGCAAATGTCTCAACGCTCTGCGAGTCTCAAGCAAGTAAATCATTTTAGAAATGGTTTTTGAAGTTTCAGGAGTTTCCTCTAGATAACCGTAACAACTGGATTTGAAACGCTGCTAATGAACTCTTTCTAGAAGGATACCTCCATTTTTATTGTCTGGAGGGCATTTGAGTAAACTAAAATGATCAACAGCATCGTCTGAACGTAATGCTTGCTGCTATGCTAACAGAGCTTCGATTGTGCAATGGGATTTAAGGATAAACCATCATATCTGGAAATGTTCAGTAACACAATGTATTTCCTAATTTGGTAGTGCTTTCATTCTAAATAGTTTATTTATTTATCATTAATAAATCCTACTACAGCATGTTAGGGCCATGGTAGATAGAAAAAAGGAGCATATTTCCATCAAAACACTCAGAAATTTGTGAGGTCCACAAGTCAAATGTTGCAAAGAAAAACTCAGAAATGTTTGAGTTTTCAAAGTTTTCTCTGAATTTTTTGCCGTAAATTTACTCCTCCGTCTATAATGGCCCTAGTAAATCGGACGGTTTTTCTTCTTTAGATGTTTTATCAGTTTTAAAGACTTCTCTTTACCGCGTTTAGCGCTTTAACCCTTGCAGCTCCAACTTGTGCTGAACAAACGTCTCACAAAAATCCTGCATGTTTGTTACTAAAGTCTCCATGTTGTGTGTGCCCCCTCCCTTCGCTCTCCAGCCATTTTTCTGTATCTTCGTTGTTCCTCTGTGCGGGTTAGGAGACGTGTTTTCCCGGGTTAATGAATGTACCGCTCCTGCGTGTCGTCAGATGTGTTGTGGACGGGTGCTCACGAAGGCGTGAAAGCGCATGCTAGCGCTAAAAATGTACGTCCCGCAAAACTGTTCACCCAGCAGAGGTGCTCAAATCTGAGTCCAGAGTGTTTTTAGTTAGATGAATTATAACATTTGGGAGCCGGAAATGTGTTGCCGGAATTGAGCAACAAAGACGGCACGCGCCAGATTGAAGGACCTTTGCTGTCGATTTGTGTGTAAAACAATTTACGTGTCCTTGATATGATTTATTTTGATAAGAAAAGAGAATGCGGTGTTAAAGGTGGATAAAACAAACTGAATAAAGAGTTTCATTTGAAGAGTCGTGAGGCTTTTTATTACATTCTTCTAATAAACCACCAGGTGGCACCATTTCCTCTTTCTTTATTTTACCAAGTTGTTTATTGACCATTATGGGCTTGTACAAGGAGACATTGCTAAGGAAGCTAGCTGGCTGTTCTAAGTTAGCTGAATGGAAAGAAAACATTTGGCAGAAAAACTAAAAACTGTCCATTTTCTTGTGTTAAGCCACCTCATGAACAAGATGAAACATCATGTCAAAAAATGACTGAACTGTTGTTGGTCCAAAGTTTAATTTAAAGATTTAATGTGAATTTTATATATATCATTTGGGAATCCAGAGTCTAAAAAGAGTATGATAAGAATGTGTATATAGTTGCCTCTTGCCAGATTTCTACCATTTTCTCACAGTCTCTACATTTTCTTTCCCTTGTGTGAGATATTCAGGTGTTTCTAAATGTTTTACTTGCACTTAAAGAGAAGTCTGTTATGTCTGGTTAGGCTGAGTTTTGGTTCTGCTTCGTACTAGAATAGCTCTATCATATTTAGAAATCACACTCACCAAACCAAAACATATTCATGAGCTTAACAGGAATTAATAGTTTTGTGTTTTGAGATGAAGACATGTACGACAGTTTTAGAGAATACAAAATAGAATAATCATAAATAGAGAAATGTTTTATTCCTGGCTGGGCTGACCGACTGCAGGCCCTTAACTAAGCCTTGCCCTGTAATGAACCTTACACATATGTAAAGCTGAAGCACATACATGCTATAACAGTGCAAAAACACATTGTTTCTTATTCTTCTGAGCAGTGCTTTTAGTCCCACTTACATAAGAGCCATTCTCCTCAGACTGACCCGTCGATTGGTCAGAAAAAGGGGAGGCGTGAGACAGATGCTCATTCTTTTCCCACAAAGCCAAACTACCAAGGAGACGGGCATTAAAAGAACTTGTTGTGCAAAGTAATGTGTTTGAACAGCATGCAGTCTATTTTCATGACATCTTTTGCTCTGCGGCACCAAACTGTTTCACATGTAGACTTAGGCTGCTTCGTTTAAAATACTATACAACATTAAGCAACAACAGTTTATCTGCAAATTACGATTTAGTAAAACTAATGTGCAGTACAAACCTCAGGAAATAAAAAAAAAAGATGGTAAAGAAAAGAAGCTACATGTAGATGAAAGGGTTGGACTATTTGAAGGGGTTCTACAGATCTAAAGCTACTTTCTCATGATTTACTTTGTTGTTGCACACTTGGAGAAACATGTTACAGAGATGCAAAAAGTGGATGTGTCGAGATCAAGAAACTGGATTTCTCAGAGGCAAACTGCATGGATTACTGTCATTTGGGCATTTTGATGGTTTCTTTATAGATTTAAGGATCGAATGACCCAGGAATGGATTTTCAGTGTCACTTCCTGAAAATAACCACTGAGCTTCAAAGTGGTCAGATAATGATTGGCTTCAAACATTTCAGTCTTTCAAGCATCTTGGATCCTGAGGTAAGTGAGTTTTCATCAGCGCAGACAGAGTGCTTGCACAGTGTTGAATAAGATAATTTACTATGATGATTCTTAAGTAGTAGTTGTGTATGTGATAAAGAAGTTCAGCACATGCAGAAACACAGAGTGAGGAAGCATGCTGAGGAAGTCCAAAAAATTTGTTTTCTTAGTCAGAGATTAAATGATGCAGAGAATACTACCATGTGAAATGCAAAGAAAGGTCAATATCTGACAGTATTTCTATTAAAATCAGAGGAAGATATGTGAGAGACTGATAGCAAAAGTTTACAAATATTACATATCAGTCCACAGGCGAGAAAAGAAATGTCTAGCCTGATAGAGCCAAGAAAGAAGTTAGTTTTGAGGAAATAAACGCATCACTGTTTACTTTAAGAGTTTGGAGGGGAACTTGAAGAATCATAAACCAAACATCATTGAAAAGGATGTTGCTTTAAGTATTCCGTTGCGATTTCAAAAATTCTTCCTGCTGTGTCAGGAAACAGGCCTAAGCTGAACAAGCATTTACAACTCCTGACCGTTTTCACATGTCGCGTTACGACTGTAAAACTCCAGAGTATGTACTCGGGATTTTATGAGGCAGACAAACAGCATGAAAACCAGGCCACAAACGGACATATCCAAAAGCTTTAGAAAAGTCAGAACACACAGTAAATTCACTTTTTAACACTCTGAAACCACGGCTGCAACTAACAATTATTTTATTTAGTAATTGATATTTCTATTGATTGATTGATTTGATAAAAAAAAAATGGCATATTTAGCAAATTTTTTCATTTAACCACTTAAGGCTTTTTCATGCAATATTTGAAGAACAATAAAATATGCAAATAAGCAAATAATTACATTACTTTTGTGAATAAGAAAACAAATAACAGCATTCATTTAAAGAACTGTTAATTATTTGTAGTTTTGACTTAATTACTTCTCTGACTGCGTTGATCTTTCAGGAAATGGCCGTTCTGTAGAGTCTGTATAGTCCAGCTAACGATTAATCGATTGCTAAATTAGTTGATTATTTCAATAAATGTTTAATCACAATTTGATTAATCGTTTCAGCCCTATCTGGAACATAGATACACCCTTTGACCCAACCAAAAAAGTGGGCTGGGCTGCTGTCTGAGTGAAATGTTACCCAGTATACTTAATAAACCACCAATAACTTCCAGTGAAAACCACACATATTTTAAAACTTATTTATTTAACCATTATCAGTATAAGCTATACAATATGTAAGGTGAAATACAGGATAACATTTAATAAAAGGGACAAAGGAGAGCTTCACAGTAAAAACAATAAAAAAAATAAATACGTTCGTAAAGAGCAAAGCATAAGCAAATTAAAAGCTGGTTTTTACTCTGTATTTCATTCTTGCTCATACGATGGAAATTTTTTTTTTTATACAAGATGCATCTTCACATTAAACTAACACTGTCGTACCGGGACTTGTCAGAGGAACTTTTGGCCAACCCAGTGTTTTTCTTTCTAGTCATCTAAAACTGCAGGCACTTAAGCGAATATGCACTGCTGAAGAACAGGATGTATTTTCTCATTGTAATACATGTTATACTGACCACATAACGGAGAGTGAGACAACAAGGGTGAGTGTCAGTCGTTTCATGTACTCAAAACAAAGATTTGTCTGAGCCGAGATTTAAGTTCAGCTTCTGTCACAAGAAGTTGCAGATTTAAAGTCACAGCAGTTCCAAGTAGATGTGCTTATTTCACAGAGTGGTACCTCCTTTTGTTGCTCTGCTGTGTATAGAGCAGCATCTGCCAAGCTAACTAACAGGGCAATCTGATTTACTAGCTAGCTAGCATTCTGCCACTTTTGTGCTTGCAGCTCTTCAGTCTTGGCATGCTAGCTTTACTTTTAGTAGCAAGGTTGTGCTTCATTTTCCAGATCATGACTTTCCAAACAGAACAGTAGCTACTGGCTGTCCAAGAAGTTGGTGAATGATGGCTTTATTTACCAAATAATCCACCTGCAGGAAACCACATTTTATGCCGTGTAGAGAGGATGAAAATAAATACGGGAGCAGCACTTTGAGAAACTTTCTTGTTTAAAGAGATATAAAACTCACTGCATAGAGGTTTGTATCTCACTAAAGCCAAACTATGTTCTCATTTAAACAAGAAAAGTAGTAACAGTAAAACAGCAGCACCTTGCGGTAGAAGAAGAAACAGAGTGAGAAGATGGAGGGTCACAGGAAACCCTCTTATGCCTTCTTAAGAAATGTAATTTTGTGTGTCATTAATGAGAAACTTTCCTGCTTTAGTAAGTCACTTCTCCTGAATTTATTATGTAGCCTTGGCAGTTCAACGCTTCCATTCTTTGGAGCATTGTCTGGCTTTAAACTAGCTACAGCATGATGCAACATTTTGTTATCCCATCATTAAACCCATCTGTTTTTTCTCAGGCTTTTTTTTGACACAATCTGAGATGTTGCAAGTATTATTTACTCATTTATTTGATTCTCCTTTAACTCTTTTTGTTTGTGATTGCATCTGTCTAATGTCTTTTTTTTACTCATCAGCTTTAAAGAAATTACATTTAAGAATGCTTTCAACTATTTTGTAACATTAACATCAAACTGGTAATAAACGTACAGGTTTCAGTAAACCAATCTGTCATAAACATTTATTCAAAACAGCCGTTGCATCAAGGCTAACGTTCCCTTAAACCAAATTCCTTTCTCTTTGGCTTCCAGCCACAGAAAGCATGAAATTTGTCAGTTTTCTTCAAAACATTTAGGGTACATTCACACCAGGACTATTTAGTTCGCTTTAATTGAACTCTAGTTCATTTGCCCCGAAAGTCTGATTCATTTGGGAAGGTGTGCATGGCGTAATCGAACTCTGATGAGGATGTACGAAGCAAACTCTGGTCCGCCTAAAAAGACCTGAGTCTCAGTTCGGTTGAAGTGAACTCTGGCGCGGTTCAAATGCATATGTGAATGCAAGCAGACACGAGACCGCTCCAAAAGCAGGAAATGCATTATAGTGCAGGGCATTCCTGGTCAATCGAGCCAAAATAAACGCGAGAGTCTAGCGGTAGCGAGAGAAATGCTAAAATATGATGCTGCTTCATTTTTGTTTACGTTTTGCAAAGTAGGATGTTGTGTTCATGCAATTCCCCTCAGAGGTTCTTGGTGCAGTGCCCCCGCAGGTAAGGAAGTAAACAGGTTTTTCAAAGGGTTTGGATCGTTTGACACAGTACAGTGTGAAAGCAAACCGCACCAGTTGAAAATGAAACAAATCTTACCCCATCAAACCGAGTCTACAGGACTATCAGGTGTGAAAACACCCTTAGTTTCTTTTAGAATGACACACTGAAGTTCTTGCCTTTGAAGGTCAGAAAGTACATTTTGGATCCTGCAGACTTGGACATGAGGATAAAGAAGAAGGGGTCCAGGCAAGCATGGAGGCAGCAGAGACACACCGCCAAGTTGAAATATTTGTACAGACTATCTGCCCCTCCTGCAGACAGCTGCACATAATGGAGAAAGTGCAGGACACCAGCGGGAAGGAAGCACACTAGAAAGATGGTAAACACCAGAGAGCTGGACTTGATGTACATCGCCCAGTCGTAGTGCGACCGGTTGAGCACGCAGAGGATTTTGATGAAGCACACTGTGGTGACCACCATGGGGACCAGAAGGCACAGAACCGCCAGAGTCAGGGTGCAAAAGAGCAGGAACTTGTGAGAGTCAGACGTCAGGGGCATCACGTCGTGGCAGGTGGTGCGGTTCAGCTGGGAGACCCAAAAAGTCTGCTGGACCAAAAGCTCGGGGACGATGGAGGCGGCGAAGGCCAGCCACAGGGCCAGGACAACCCAGGCCGTGCACCTCTTCTTGGGCAGAGTTTTGTACATGAATGGGTGCACCACCGCCATGTAGCGTTTGACGGCGATGCAAGCCAGAGTCAGGGCTGAGCCGTAGAGGTTACCGTAGAAACAAGCGGTGACCGCTTTACAGGCGGCTTCTCCGAGCACCCAGTCGTTTCCGAGGAGATGGTAGTGAGCCTTGAAGAAGAGGGAGACGAGGAGGAACAAGTCAAAGGTGGCCAGGCTGCAGTAGAGGATGGCGGACGACACCTTTCTAATTTTGGTGGCGAGCAAACACAGGATGATGATGTTGGTCGGGATTCCAACGATCACCGCCAGCAAGTAGATGACGGGGATGACTTTGGTGCTCAGGCGTCCGTTGAGGTACCCTATGGCGGTGTCACTTAACTGCTGCAGAGGCTGCTGCAGAGACGGAGGACCAGTGGAGTTGGGAGTCTGGGTGCCATGGACGACAGACTCTGTGGCACGGATTCCTAAAAACACCCTGGGCTGAATTATCGCCGCCTTCCTTTTTCCTGCAAGAAATTCAGACATTCTGTCATTTTTTAAAAACTTGTTTTGACATGCATTTGTTCTTAATCTTTGGACTGGAACAAACAAGACGGCATGGCAACTATCTCCTCTACGATCCGATGTTTTAAATGCACAAAGCACAGTGGAGAACACTGATGTTTTCCAAAAGCAAGCTTTTGGGATTGGCTTTTAGTTGACTTCTATGAATTAAGACATTTTTATAAACTCATAAGATGACTATGACTGTGTCACGTCTGGCGCAGGGACTGGACCAAAATACAGACAGCAAAATTGAAGTTCAAAAAGAGGAACATAAACCGAACGGAAAGAAGGGAAAAATAGAAACCAACGTTATCACTAACAGAGAGAAACATTACGTCTACAAGCACAATAAATAATAAACCAAAAAACAAACACACAAAGGAAAGACCAAAGAATATAAAGAAATTATCAGAATCTAGTTCTAACTTAGTGGAATCATAACAATCTAACAAACTATTGATTTCAAATAAATCTACCATACCTATATTGCTCGACTGCTGTTATTTTCATACAAGCTGCTTGAGTTAAATTATTTTACAATTATTATTTAAATGTATTTATAATTTTTTTCATAATCTTAACTCTTCTTTTTACTCATTTAGATCTTTGCTTTTACACCTCAGTTTCCTCAGTCTTTCAAACTACGATTGTTTCTTTTTAATGCTGAGGCTGCTGTAGTTCCTACATTTTTCTTTTTTCTTTATCATGTCTTTTATTTCACGTGAAGCGCTTTGTGTTGCCCTGATTTTACAGAACTCCACTGTAAATACAGATTGACTCACTGACAACAACAGAATGATTTCCCTACAGTCAATCCGTGCTCTTCTCAGATTTAGTTTTCTCTGGATTAAAAGACGATCTAAAATCCCAATGATTAGCAGTTTTACTTTAAGTCTCTGTGAAATAGAGAGTTGTTTGACATTAAAGTTCATCTGCCATATACATGCCTGAAAACATATGATGTTTAATGTTACATTTAAAGTGATCTTAATCAAACCTCACTGAAATCGTTTTTTAAAGCATTTCTTACCATTTTTCTGAAGTGTCCCGTGTATAAAAAGGGCAAACAGGGGAAGGAGAATGAAAAGTTTCCTCATGTTGTTTTGCCTCGCAGTAAAGCGATGCCCTTCTCAGAAGTGAATCTCACAGCTTATTGTTTGCTAAGTTTCCCCTCGCTGTCAGCTCCGTGGGAGTGTTCAAGTGAGAAGTCCCACCTCAAACCCACAGACTGACGGGTGAGAAAAGCATCAAACATGTGAACTCTGCAGCGTCGCAGCTTGCGCTTGGTTTCACTTCTGCCCATATGAGACACCTCTGCTTCAACTTTTTTTTTTCTTGTTTACTCCTCCTAAAACCAACACGTTTATGTCTTTACTTTCAATTTTCCTTCACAATGACCAGCAGCATATTTGAATAGCAGACTGTTAAGCTAAACCCGCACTGCGTGACACACTTTTGCAAAGGGCAACACACATATTTAAATACTCCTCTGTCACACGGGAAACTGATACATGTGAGGGGAAACATGACGTAAGGTGAAGCGTAGCAAAGACAGCCAGACGATTATTGAGGAAATGTCTGTCCGGAGATGATAAGCTTGTCTCAAGGCAAGCAGCTTTGTTTAGTCTCAACTCACAGTGTTGGAGCTTAAATGATGCACTGGGCTGTTTTGAGTTATTCTGGGGTTTGATTTTAGTCTCTTGTTTCTTTGATTAGATCAGCTTCATTTCTGTTTTACCTTGGTTCAGTTCTTTGGTTTTGTTATATTCCTTACCTCTAGCTTTTTACCACTTTGGGTGCTCTCCCTTGCCCCTTGTGCCATTTTCTCTCTCTCTCTCCTCACACCTGCAACGGCCACCTGTCCCTTGTTCACCAATCAGGCTCTGCATTATATTCAACTTATTCTCCTAGTTAATCCTGCTGCTTGTTCACCCTGATGGCTTTTTGTTCCTGGGTCCTGTGTGTTATTATTATTATTATTATTATTATTATTATTTTCATTAAATCATCAATATGTCTCTGCCTCGCTGCATTTGTCCTCCATCACCACCACTCAGCATGACACCCTGACCTGTCTGCTGTTTTTCTTGGTGATCACGATGCTGTTTGATTGCTAGCATGATCTCTCCCTGACCACAACTGTGTCATTGGATTTTGTAACCTTTTTTTTTTTTTCTTTTAAAGTGTTTTATTAATAAAAATGTATGGCCACCATGGCTTCTCCTCCAGCTTTTTAACTGCTTTCTAATCCGTGTTGGTCCGTCACGTGTCCATTAGTAATGACGAAACGTGAGAACGTTTTGGATGTGTGAAGACGCAGCGTTTCGGTACTCTCTCTGACCAAAGGGACCGTTTATTATTGGAGCTGTAGCATCCAGCTGATAACAGATGTCTCAGTGTTTTCACTGAGTTTGTTTCTCAGATGTTTGTGTGTTCAGTTTGCAAGACATGAGAGTGCTTCGCGTTAGTGACGTCAAGCTATGAAGACCACAGAGATGTTCAAAGCAAAGTCAGGAGGGAAGTCATTTGATCTATTCCACGGCGGTTTCCAAGTGGTTGGAAGTAAAAAACTAATTGTTGCCTCATAAGAGTGGTAGTGACACAGAAACAATGAAAATCCATAAACAGCTCATCTTAGCACGTCGCTTCGGCGTTCCTTCTCTCCACCGCATTGCATCCGTTGGCAGCCATCTGTTTCCTGTATTTTTTTACGACCACGTCTGTGGTCTGTTTCTGTTTCCCATAAAGTCAAACAGAATTAATAAATCTTTTTTTTAAATTTTTTAAAAAATTTTTTAATTTTTTTAAATAAGAACCTTAAAGGCATATCCGCCCCCCACCGGTATGGCTCTCTTAAGAATTTGGAGTTTTGGTCCTTTCATTTTCACAGATAAAATGATGACACGGTAAACAATTCCAGTTAATTTGAGAAAGCAAAATTGGGCGAACGAGGTAGAATTTATTGTTGGTTATTCATCATAGCAAACGGCCTCAGTTGGATCACTTAGACATGTAACACACTAGTGTGTAATTTATTTACAGTAGGGTTGAGGGCGTTCCAAAAACTTAATGTTAGCATGTTAGGTAACACTTTATTTGAAGGGGGTTGAATAAGGCTGACATGACACTGTCATAAACATGACATAACACCTGTCATGAACATGAATAAGCCTTCATGAATATTTATGACTGTTGTCATAAAGTGTCATTCGGTAAATTATGACACTTTTAATACAAAGTTGACATTATTCAAAATGTCTTTGTTATGACAACTTGACATTAACCAAGAAATCATTACTGATATAAATTTGTTATAAAAGTATTACTGATTGCACTTTAAAAATGAGGTAACTTTATGTTATTAAAGGTAAAGTTTAAACCCATGTTATTCCGTTCCAAAACCAGTTATGAAGTGTTTTTATGACCGTTTCCCTGTTGGAAAATCCAAGTTTAGCCCCTCGTGCCTCAGAAAGAATGAATTGGTGAGCATGTTTAGAGAAAACTAAAGAACCACAAATGCTGAAGATGTTATCCAGAGTTAAGTGAGTTTATCACCAAGCGTTAAAACAGTGCTTACCATGAAAAAGCTCTTTCTCCAGCTCAGCAACAACTAAAGTGTGCAGCTGCTGACATGAGCAAGCCAAACGCCTCCAGGAGGGAAATATTTTGTGCTAAGAGGACAGTAAGGCTCAGCTGTGTGGCCAGGATGATAAGACGTCTGTCGAGATGAAACTTTTATATTACAAAACACTGAACCAAGTGTCAAGCATGGCAGTGGCAGCATGATGCCACCGCTGTGGAGAAGATTCAAATTCTTCAACTTCAAGAAAGGTTTTACCCGTTAATCCCCAACAATCCCAACACACATGTTTGGATTAAACAAAGTCTGGACTTTCACTGATCTAGATTCAGTCAGTAATTTGTTTTCAATTCTTAAAGAGGCAGTAACATGTTTTTTCCAGGCACATAGGGCCTTTTTATGACACAATCCAGTAACTATGTTACCTCCAGGTGTTATAAAAATGCTGTACATGTCAAATTTGATGTAAAAGAAATTTGACTTTGTAATTTAATGCCTTGAAATTGGGTCTCTGTGTCTTTAAGAAGGTTCTGCTCTTTGTGAAACTCACAACATGGCTCCTCTATTAACCCGTTAAAATTTCTACCAGCGTTTCACTGAGAAGTAACTTGTTTGATGAGCTCAGCAGATGCGCAGTTCCACCAGGTGTTTGCTAATTGCTGCTGGCTAGTCTGAAGGAGCTGAGTGGGGGAGATCTGCACTGTGAGGTAGAAGCTTGGAAACTGTCGCTCTGAGGAGGAGCTTCATCCTCGAGGGCGGAACAAAGGAATGGTTGAGAAAGGATTTCTCAAACCTTCTTGACGAGAGAATAACATAACATAATACCGCCCCTTTAATTCAATTCAATTAGGTTAATTTACAATAGAACTAATTCCCAACAAAGGTCGTCTCAAGGTAAACAAGTCAATTCAGTTCAGTCACACATACATTCAACTGATCCTAGCTACCAAACAGGGCAATGAGTTCAGTTTACTCTCCAAATTAGCTTAAGAGGCTGTTTATCTGAAGAAACCCAGCAGAATGTATAGAGTTATTGATAATCGCTGTGTTGTTCAGTTGAACATCAATCTGTCATACCAAGCACATATGTCATAATAATCTATCACTATCGCTATGACAGATAGCAACAGTGGAAACACTCCCCATTAGCAGAAAGAAAAAAAAGAAAGTTAACAGTGTAAATAAAATTAGAAGAAGAAGAAAGTTAGTGTGAGGCAAAGTGGTGAGTTTATCTGCCATAAGTTTGTTGGGGTGGCAGCATCATAACCAGGGACTTAAAAAGGCTCAACAACCTGCTGACGAAGAATAGAGACAATGATGCAAAGAAGGATTTTGCATAAAGTGACAGACAGTCCTGACCCTCCTCTTCCATAGTAAAACAAAGTCTTCAGTCAGAGGATTCTTTAAGGAAATCCTTCCTGCCCGCTGCCGTCTCCACCTGCAGTAACTGTTTGAAGAATTTTGAAACTATATGAGCTTAATTTCCTTTGGGATTAATAAAGTATTTCTGAATTCAAGTGAAATGAATTTGTCCTCCAGCAGCCGGAGCGAATCCCATCATAACAACAGAGATTTCTCAGGACAACGAGTAGAACCGTTGTTCTGGACTGCCTGCTCAGAAACACTTCTACCGTTTTGTGATAAGAGACGTGGTCAAATTTCCTGCAGGAATCATCCTAAGATCTGTTTACGGCGACGAAAAATATGTTACTGCTCTGCACTCTGCTAAGGAGCACGCCGCCATCTTGTAAAGGAGATTTCAATAAACTTTGTTTGTACCATTAGATAGATTTGGTTACAGGAGTGTTTCTCAACCCTGGTCCTCAGGCCCCTGTCCTGCATGTTTTAGGTGCTTCCCTTCTGCCACACCTGAATTGTATGTCTGGGTGATTAACAGGCTTCTGCAGTACTTGATGGTCATGCAATCATTTGAATCAGCTGTTCTGGAATAGAGGCACATCTAAAACATGCAGAGCAGGGGGGTGGTGAGGACCAGGGTTGCTGGTCCTCACCACCCCCTGGTGACTCACCTTACTGTAACACTGGGTTACAGTAAGGTGAGTCAGCTTTTTTGCCAGACAGGAAACTTGATGCAGACACACTATCTATCTATCTATCTATCTATCTATCTATCTATCTATCTATCTATCTATCTATCTATCTATCTATCTATCTATCTATGTGTGTGTGTGTGTAAATATAACAATTAAAAGAAAAAGTTTTAGATATTAACCAACATAAAAACAACAAAATACAAACACTGACTTAAATACGGCATCCTCATTAGGACAAGATTAAAAATAAAACTATTCAGCTAAGTTGAATTTTGGAAACTTGTGGCAACAGGAACAAAACTGGTTTAATACTTTGCTGAGGTTTCTGTATTCACATGCAGGATTCATAAGCTTACAGTAATTACAAACATTCATTTATAATGAATTCCACACTGAATAAAAAAACATTTAAGCCTTTTTTTAACTGTTTAGTTATTTTTATCATGTATTTCTTTTTTGTTTTGTTTTAATATCTGTAGTTTGAGAAGCGCCTTGTAATGTTGTTTTCTGGGAAGGTATAAATAAAAAAATAAGTCATTTGTGTAAACCTCTGGTGCTGTATTGAATAATAATAACTGTTCACTTTGTGTCTATATTTTTGAAATGATTAGACTTTTTCAGGCAGGCAGGCGCTTCTCTTTTCTGAATTGTACTGAAATCGCCAGGAGGTTCCTAATTCTCTCAGAAGATGGCAATATTTCCCTTTTATGATGATAAAC